ATATATATATATTACCACAGTGAGCAGTAATGATTCAAAACCTATCACGGACATGCGGTAAATTCTATTGTCCTTACACTGGCAACACAGCACTTTGCATAGATGTTCAGCAAGTCAGGTTACCACACTCCCTCCATTTATCACGCAGTGCAAGAGAAGAGAGTAAAGAGAAATTCAAATGAGAGAAATAATTAACACAAGTGTGACGGGGAAAAGAATATTAGCATGGAAAACAAAACAGTTTCATTGCATGTGATAAATCACAAAGAGTAAAAGCACCTGCGCCACTGAGAACGATTTCAAGACATTTCAAAAGTTGTCTACACCTGCCACTGGTTCTTAGAATCCAGACGACCCCAAACAAGAGGTTTACACCTCCCGACGTGGCTGGCTGACTTAAACTAACTGCTGTGGATTTTGTGAATTGATGAAGACAATTTTTTTTGTTTGACCTCAACTCTCTGTTTTCCAACCTGATCCATCTTATGTCAGCTAACATCGCCTTTCTTCCAGGTAGACGGCAGCTAAACATGCGTAGCGCAGGATGTCCTAACCATCTCATACCATATACCTCCAGGACCTCATCAACTAATTTTCCCTCCTAACCTAGCACTCAACACCTAACTTCAATAGCACTCACCCTTTTATACCAGCTAACACACAAGAGAGTGCAGGCACCTATGATTAAAGACAGTTAGCCTGCCTTTTCATCTCTCCCAGTTGCAATGGCTATAAAGAAGGAGAGAGTGAACTGCTTAGCAGCATACATGTCCATTGGTTGATAGTTGAATATCACGTCTGAGCTAGATATAGCGAAAGCTGGAGTGTGTCAAACGAACATTCTGCATTAGTAAGGAGATTTCGTCAGCGATCAACCTGATGTGGCTTATTGATTTTACAACGAACAGGTAAGGCAAATAGGGAACTATAAACTCTTAAAATTTGGGATCAGTGTCATTATTACCACTGGTATGATTCAGAAAACTAAGATTTGTTCGAACGGTCATCCGTGCATGCATAATAATATTTCACAGTAAGGCATATTCAATTAACAATTTAGTGTGGAATTACTTAGTACTTCTGTGTCTAGATTTTCCACATATTACTTCTAGTAAAATTTTATATTCCTCAATGAATTAAAAATAAATTAACATTGTTGTTTTCACTGACGTCTCCATATTTGATGCTAATAGACTTCAAAAGTTGTTTTATAAGGAATAGATTTGTTTTTCGAGTTTAACCACAGGTTCATATCAGTTAGAGAAGCATTGAAAACTCATCAAGGAGTACTGGATAGTTGTTTCTTCCTAGTTTTACGAATCATCGGCAGTACGCCGACGGTTCTCTAACTGATATCAATCCGTGGTCAAACTCGAAAAACAAATCAAATAGGGTACAGCAGGTCGAAGATGAGGCAGTAACTCATCGAAGAAGACATTGTGAAGTGGTCGCGCTATGTCGTGAATTGGCAGAAGTTAGAATTCAAGAACCATTGGATCGAGTCCCAGTGGCTTAATGGTCTACGAGCTCGCCTTGTAACCAGAAGGTCCTGGGTTCGAACCCCGGTGGGTGCGTACTGATGAAGAGTCCCAAAATAGGACGAAACAGCTGTTCAGTACTCCCAGGTTTTCCAGTGGTTCTCTAACTGATGTCAGCTCATGATTAAATCCTCCATACAATCAAACCAAATCCCTACAAAACCAACACTTGAAAATCAAATACTAACAAAAAAACTCTTGAAAATTAATCTTATGCTTTCTAGTGACTTCCTAAGGGACGAAATTTCCTGCAGCTTTAGGGAGAAGTCGTGACCAGTGAGATCCATCCAGTGGGGAGTGAGGATGGAGTTCCTACTGATGACATTGGTTGGTAGTCGCGCTGCTAATCATGAATTCGTGGACTGGCCACTGAGTTGGGTCCCGGTGGATGAATGGTTGTACGAGCTTGAGTTGCAACGGGAATCTCCTGGTTTCCAACTGTGGCGTTGGGTGCATTCTGTGGATTAGACGCAAACTAGAATGAAATAGCTATCCAGTACTCGTTGATGAGTTTTCAACGCTACTCTAACTGATATCAATCCGTGATCAAACTTGAAATTTGCTAATATCTTTATCAAAGCAATATTATGCCAGGATTTACAAAATCTCTGTTTATATCCATTTATTCGATCACATTTCTTCAGTATAAAATAACTTTTTTTACACATTCAAGTGGATACATTGGCAAAGGTAACAAACCATGTGCAGATTATTGGATTTAATAAATATGTTAAGTTAATTAGGATGCTTACAAATGTTTACCACCTTTGTGATAATTTTTGTCTCTTCATTGGGATAAAGTGTATCGGAAATTGGGTGAAATTCCGTCTTAATCTGTCTATTCCTATTCAGGTGACTATGATTCCATTCAGTGTGAATTATTTCTGATATGAAACGCTTTTTGTGATTTCTGAAATTTTCCTCAATGACTTTAAAAAAATTTAGCAAAATCACTCTTGTGTCCTGAAAAGTTTTTCATTATAATAAATATCAATAGAGACATACTTTTAACGGAATTAAAAGTAGTTCATTAGATATGCATAAAACGTATTTGCATTTTCATACCTAACTCTTTCGTCACTACAGTCTACTGCAATGGTGTTTGATTGTTAGTGTTAATATATTATGATTGAGTATGCATGCCCACAGACAGGCTTAATTCACTTGCATCCATACTTACTATGCCACCTCGATGGTATGTCGTGAAGATATACATGTCTCCTGATATCAGTAATACAGACAAATGTAAATAATATTCCATGTGGGTTCGAGCCTTGGTGGGTACACCACCAATCATGGGGAATGGAGGCATATCCAGATGACGAGTTCCAGATATGAAGAAATGCATGTTGTCCTAGATTCCATTGCTAGTCACCATCCATCAGTTGACTTCAAATATTTCATCTGTTTGTGCTATTGACACTACCTTACTGGAAATCGCTATTTACAACATAGCACATATTTGAAAGAACTTCGACTTAGAATCGCACTAACAACTTAAGTGAAACAAATGTCTTTTTGGTGTTTTTAATCAATGTCGATTTTTCCAGTTGATTATATAGACTGAAATGTGCGGTCTCTATTGAAATGTGGACTTCCGGTGCGGATGTTTTGGCAGTGTCTGAGCAATGAATGTCAGTGGATTCTAGGGTCCTTATCTCGACCTATTTTGGACTCGTTACCTGGTTGTACCTACACTTCCAGCCAGTGATGATGTTCTTAGTGAGGTTCAAATCCGGGAACCAACGTTTCAAGGGCCAAAGAGTTATCCACTCGACCACTTGCGATATGAAAGGCTACCCAGCCAGCATGGGTCATGATTCATTTTGAATTGAATTTTGATTTTCCCTCTGAATTACTGACCAGAAATGTTCGGACACGTTTAGTCCCAGTATGGACGCTTCAACCCTTAGCTCTTCTCAGTGAGGTTTTAATTTATACAAAGGACATAAATTGCAGATGATGAGAACTGAAAACCATGGAACAAAGAGAGCAGTCATGTTCGGATGGTACAAACTGTAATTGACATCCAGCAGATTTACAGTATAATCCTCTGACGATCTTCTAATGACCTGATTTGAAATCACCTGTGACCACTCTGTGATTCTTAATCGAAGTTAGACTATGACGATAAGGAGACAATATCACTGCCTAGAGAACATCAAATGACCTTCGTCCTCAGTTATTAACATTCCATTCTATTATTTCCTAGTCAGCGTCATTTGAGTGAACACTGTCGGAATAGCCCGATTATGTTATAATGAGCAGTTATCTTTCCGATATTCACATAGTTAACCGTCTATAAGTTAGACAGACCTATTTCCTAATTGAAGCTAAGGTGCCATTTGCACACAAACAAGTTTACCAAGTATGTTTGTAACCTTGGAACAATTCAAGTTCAGCTTTTAATAGTTTTGTAATGCTGTAATAAATCATACTCACATGAGTTCTACACATAAAAGTGAGAAGATGTAGTTTGGTTATGAAAACTTCTTATCAGAAATCGAACAACTTAAATAATTAGACCACAGCTGACCACATTAAAGAAATATTTTTAAATATTTGTCCCTTGTATATACATTTTCGCGTCCAACGTTTAGGTGATGGGGTTATTTGCGTAACCTTAAATCCCTTTCGAAAGAAGAATGATCGCTTTCATTTCTGTTTTATGCTTACAATATATACATCCAGGGAGCACCACACAACCTAAGCAAAACAATTTAAAAAGTACATATGGAATGACTGACATTACGAATAACAACGTGAAATCATTAAGGTTTTGGTTACCAGCTGACACCAGATAGAGGAACACTGGAAAATCTTGAAGTATTGGATGTCAATTTTGTCCCAGTGTTGGACTCTTCACCAGTAGGCACCCATAATGAAATCCATATTGAAATTCATCCAAACCCCTATAAAAGCGACGATTTCAATATCACTGTCTAGCTGACTGATGGCTACTGTAGTGATGTCCTTAAGCTGTACTGAGAAATTGTAACCAATGTCGTCTACTATATCAAGGTGAATTGGTTGCTCATTGAAAGCGCTAGTTGAGGGCAGAGATATATCACGAATTGACAGATGTTATAATTCCCAGATCGATGAATTCCTGGCCAAATAAGTGGATAGTCAATGAACTCTAAACAGTAACATTTAGACCCATCATTTGATCCCTGGTAGGTTGGTCTGAGTTCTACTGAAGAGTCACAAACTAAGACGAAACAGCTGTCCCGTTTCCTAACTGACGTCAACTCATGACCAAACATGTCACCAAACCAATCAAATCCTTGCAAGAAGCCAAAACTTGAAAACGATGCCGATTACTGACTGGCTGTTTGCCTTCAAAAAATCATTCCACAGAATACCAACCAAATTTTAGTTATTTAGTTGATAAGCTCCAATCAGATTGTGAGGTCAAGGCTAAAAGTTCTCCAGCGAATATGATTGGTTACCTCGCGTTCAGTCAGTTTTGCTAGAAATAGATAAATTCATAATTTGAAAATGTCCTCACATAAACCAAAAATAAAATTTGTGGATTGAATATTTCTAGTTGTTCAAATCAAATTTCTTCAAAACTCACCATAAACAGAGCATAGCTCATGGATAAAATTTTAGAAAATTCATCTTCCAATAACTTGGAAGCAAATTTACACTACCTTGAATCCCAACATCCTGAGTTGAGTGAAATAGCTAAAAATCTGGCTCATATGGCAATGAATACAACGCCTGCCTCCATGTTAGAGTCAACAACAAATCCTAATGAACCACAAAGATCGTTGACCAGTGAGGATTCAACCTTTAATAATCCTTGGTATCAATATTTAGTGAAATTGCACCTTCAAGATACAAAAATTCAAGATTTGTTAAATCAGCAACAAAAACAATCACAAATGTCAAACAGTAATAGCAACACTAATATGCAGAGTCTAGTAGAGAATGTGATATTAAATCAGCATAATGTTTACAAACCTGAAAATCAAGTTACAGGAGTCGCCAAAAGTAGTAAGTATCCTGATTGCTTTTTTATTTATCATTATATATTGTATTATATTCCTCTGTGTTTTGACTGGATTTACTCTTCAGCTTGTGAAGTTAAGGTATCAGTAATTTTATTTTCACGATATGAGGCTGTTGGCCTAATGGCCAACCTTACTCTCCGTACCTTGAACAGTGATTTAGAATACTTTGGAGGAGAGAAATAACCTCAAGACCATACTCACAGCAAGCGAGTTGTCTTCCGCTGAACTGTGATCGCATTTTATCTCCTGTATATATATATATATATATATATATATATATATATATATTTGAACCCTAACCTAAGATTTTCCGATTCACGGTAAGAGTGTCTTTTATTATTAAGGCGTTTCTCGTACATCGATTGAGATGGTTAGTACGTGTGTTACGTATGTCTAGGCGTCTCTTTCCTCGACGAGCAGTGTTAACTGACTGACATAGGATGAATCAGGTTGGAAAAGAGCCAAGGGTGATGTTCAAACCAAAACATGCATTTATCAGTCAACGAAACCCATAACAGTTAGTTCAAGGTAGCCACGTAGCAGGGGTGTTGTTGACCTCCTGACTAGTTAGGGTCCCAGAGATGGTAAAAACAAGTTGCAAGAGACAGTTGGTGATATGGCTAAAATTTTTCACAATGGCATATATGCATTCACTTATATCCAATAAAACTATTGTTCTGCCATTCGTTTACTCCTCATACCTTTGCTGATTATCTGTCCTTTGAATCTGTCTTTAGTCTTTTCTTTTGCTTTGTGTGCTACATGGAGGGGGGGTGGTAATTTGATTTGCTGCACATCTGTGCAAAGTTTTATGTTGAAACCAGTCAGTCAGTTTGGTTATTGTAAGCATGAATGAATATCTTCATTTGGAATGAAATACTTCAGATATTTTTCTGTCACTTGTCTGTCATACAAATGGGACGTCCGAAAACTGCCAACTTTCCAACAAGTCATGAAACTAGCACACATCATTTCGAAATGTGATCATGAACACTGAAATAATTTGAAATTTTTGTTGGCAGGGGTTTGATCGGCTTCAAGTTTAATCACAGACTCACAGCAGGTTAAAAACCAAGGAATATCAAGGGGTACTCAGAAGTTGTTTCATATCATTACTTGGACTCTTCAACAGCACGTGGCTAAAATCTCACCGACGATCGGAACCAAGAATTTCAATGCACTGAGCACGAGTCCACTGAGGATTTAACCACCCTCCCATAAACTGCATTTTCTCCACATATATATATATATATATATTGCTGAAATCCCCAGTTAGTTTTAGTGGCCATTATGTGTTCTCCCTTCTGGCTTGGCGAACAACCCTAGCCAGGACTTCCCACCAGAATCCCAACAGCTTCGTCTAGTAACCTGAAGGTCCTGTGTTCGATCTCCTGTGGAGTCCATCCGTAATTCAGCCTGGGACAAATACTAATAGGTCAAAGGTATTTATGTCAAACAATAAAGCTAACTAATTGCAACTTTTTTATATAAATAGGTAGGCTTACTGACGCCTGTAATTATTCTCAACTCTCTGTGTATTAAATTATGTAATATGGTAATCAATAAAGCTAACATTGTGCTGAGTACTACTGATATGCTTGTATGAGTAGTTGGATGACAATCAGATCAATTGTGCTTCTATCCGTGTTTCTATCACCGTGAACTGACCAGCTAGCTGACTAACACCTCTGGTTGAACAAAGTGATATCCAGTGCTTGCTTCCTTGATTGTCATGTAGGCCTTCAGACAGATCATATACTAGTATTTGTGACGAAAATTGTAGCTTGAACTGTTTACGTCTCAAATCATCAATTATTTTCCTATTCGGGAATTTGATTGCATGTAGTATCATAATGTTTAACATGTTTTAAATTAATAATTCAAGTGTGTGTATGCAGATGACTTGAACGAAAAAAAGAAGAAATGAAATCATGTTATTTTACTCAGTGTTTTACCCTTGCAGTATAGAAAAGTAGGCAGTACTAACTAATAATAAAAGCCAGAAAACCTTGGATTGTATACTAAGCGACTGTGTGAAATTAGAATAAAATCTTAGAATGAGCGTTTTTCGGAAGTACATAACACTCTTGTTTACTTTTGTTTTGCTGTCAAATGTTAAAGGAATATCTGGACAGAATAGTTTCCGTGCTTACTGACACTTATAAGAAGCGTGTACGGAACTAGAAGATATTATTACAAGATAGTGGTTTTAGTAATTAATGCCATCTACAGTGCTATCAGATTAAACCACTTAATATCGCAAACGATCTCCTAAACTGTGTGACTAATAGTAATAATGAAACCATATAGGTTAATGCTATTCATGTAAAATATCCATAAATCCGACAACTACAATAATAATCACAAATCCAATCATACCAGCTGGCACAAAGCGGATCGAAATCCTCCAGATGCAGGGGGGATGCTAGTCAAAATCCTCCTACCTGCTCTACATAAATAAGTTCGAATAAATATAAGATTTCAAGACTCTCATCTCATCCCATCCATCATCATCTATGCACATCGTTCCGCATAATTGCAAGAAGTGAAAAGCATAACAGAGCTATCAACCGGAATTCTCACTATATTCATAAGGGTCAACTAATATTCCAGAATTTATACAGTTTTGTGCTACACCAACAGGATACACCCTGTCCCACAACGTTGAAATACATAACTCATAACACGAAAATTTGTGGCAGATAAACTAAATTATTCTGCTCAGTGCCTTCCATCAAAGGATTCCTTCACCTGCATAAATTGATTCCATGTGAGTTTATGAGTCTGAATACCACTTTCATCTGTACAGTGTTAAGAACTCCACAAAATGTCTCTGAGGATCCCTCTCAGTATGGATGTCTCAGATTCCTTATTGTTTGTCTGAATATGTCAGAAGAATATTCACTTCGAACGCATCGTCTGTATCACATCACCACAACAGGATTATTCCTGTATGGTTGAGAATAGTCAATATTTTGAACATTTTATAATCTTAATGATATTTGATAGAAAACAGAGGGCAATTTGATTTGAAAAACATAACGTCTTGATATATATATATATATATATATATGTATATATATCTAATAAGATTGCTCATGAATCGTGCTAGACTAAAATTATTATTATATTATCGTTACTATTCCAGAAACCATATTCATTTATTCCAACTTGACGAATTTGAATAATTTTCAAGTATTGGTTTTGTAGGGATTTTGTTTGATTGCATGGAGGATTTAATCATGAGCTGACATCAGTTAGAGAACCACTGGAAAACCTGGGAGTACTGGACAGCTGAAGTTAGAATTCAAGGACCATTGGATCGGGTCCCAGTGGCTCAATGGTCTACGAGCTCGCCTTGTAACTAGAAGGTCCTGGGTTCGAATCCCGGTGGGTGCGTACTGATGAAGAGTCCCAAACTAGGACGGAGGAAACAGCTGTCCAGTACTCCCAGGTTTTCCAGTGGTTCTCTAACTGAATTTGAATAAAGCAAGGACAACAGTGGTTTCGTTGGCTTCTCATCGGCTGCCGCTTACAGTCTAAATAAATTATGAGGTCTACGTACAGAAAAGTTTTAACATACTTGCAAATTTTTCATTATGCCAGGTGAGAGGAAGTTCCACAATTAGTGAACAGTGCTCAGAAAATTACGCTTATTTAGTTTTTACATAAGCAATTCAAGTTCAAACAAAATAAATGTCTGCATACAATGGTAAGGCAGTTACGTAATAAAGACAAGAGAAACGTAAGATGTGTTCAGAAAGAAGCAGTTATTAGTCTTTCCTTGCCCTGGTAACTGGATGTCTTTATTTTCTCTTTCATTTGTTTTACATAATTTTTGGCTTTGACCTCACCCTTTAAACACAGTGTGATTTTGCTTGTCTATTGTTCCTGTGATTTGAGTTAAACTCAGTATATTGTTACCTAATTTATTCATCACTCAGCATCATACGTTTCTCTTGTCTTTATCACGTAACTGCCTTACCATTGTATGCAGACATTTATTTTGTTTGAATTTGAATTTATTGTGTAAAAACTAAATAAGCGTAATTTTCTGAGCACTGTTCACTAATTGTGGAACTTCCTCTCAGCTGGCATAATGAAAAATTTGCAAGTATGTTAAAACTTTTCTGTACGTAGACCTCATAATTTATTTAGACTGTAAGCAACAGTTGGTGAGAAGCCAACGAAATAGACAATGATGGTACCATATTATTCTGTACAAACCACCACTGTTGTTCTTGCTTTATTCAAATATTATCATTCCCTTCGGGTTCCAAGTGGGACATAGGGCTTCCAAAACACATCCTACTGTGTTCTTTTTTCTGCTGTCCTCTTGAGCTGGCTAGCTCCAAGATTGCTTTTAATCTTTCATCTTTTTATCACACAATCTCCTTCAAGTCACTATAGAACGACCCACTCGTCACTTCTCAGTTAGATTCCACTCCAGCGATAGCCTGCATTGAGCGCGATGTCATTCGACGGCCTCCTCAATGTATTCTCGATCAATCCATCACCATTTTCTCCCACGTATTTGTTGAGTGGTCGACTCTTGGTTCGTTTTTCCCAGAGTTTCTTGTTACTTATTCCTTCTGGCCAGCTATTTGATTTTGAGTATGCAGTCAGCGAAGACAGCTCTTGATGAAAATCTGCAAGCTGTTGGAAATCCTTTTCGTTACACCCAATGTAAGCGTCTGGCTAGTATAGAAGAGCTGACTGACTGACTTCACATTTGTGTTGGAAATCGGAATCTTGTTGTTTATTCTGGCTGACTTAGTGCAGAAGATTTCCAAACTGGTTTCAGGTTGATGAAGGCGTATCTTGCCTCGCCTTACCGATTCTGGCTAGCTGGCTGGTTTTGACATCGTCATCCATGTCATCCACCTTTGGTTGAAACCGTGCTTCCTAGATAAAAGAAGGAGATAGTCTCTGTGAAATCTCTCCCGTCGGTAACTATTGATGCTGGCTGTTGTTGTTATTGTG